TCCAGGTAGGGCCGCAGCTGGTATAATTTCCGCAGCTGAAGGAACGCGCCTCTGGCCACCGAGTCCATCTGGGCTTCCAAAGTTAGACTGGGGTCCAGGAGCACCCCCAGGCTGCAGACCCTGTTCCTTAGGGGGAGTGTAACCCAATTCAGGGTAGGGAAATGGCCCTCCAACCTGTCCGGTGAAGCACCCACTAACAGCACTTCCGTCTTGTCTGGATTGAGTTTCAATTTATTAACCCTCATCCAGTCCATTATCAGGTCCAGACACTAGTTCAGCACAGAAACCACCTCACCTGGATTGGTGGAAAACGAGAGGTAGAGCTCAATATCGTCAGCATATTGCTGACTCCTCAGCCCAAACCTCCTGATGACTTACAAAACTTACAAAAACTCCTTGAAACAGAAAAGCCAGATTTTGGAGAGCAGAGAAGGTGTATTAATCTTTGTAGCCAACACAACCTTTCAGCAACCAGATGGGACCAAATAGTTCCTTCCCGTCTCTGGTTACTGCAAAACAGACTGTTCACCTTCATCTCCAACAACTTTTATTGATCAATTTTACTTGACGCATTTATCCCCTGTTCTTCTGCTGGAAAGTCTCCCACACCAGCATATAAAACAAAAATAAGGCAGTCTGTGCCTTGGGTTTGCAACCTAAAAAGACATGACACCAAAGGAAAGGGCAATGGGGAAGAAAAAGCACACAATGATACCAATTAGTAGTACTATTCTGTTCTTATAATTACCAGATTTGATGGAAGCAGGCTTGCAAAAATAGCCTCATGAGCTAAATGTCTTTGAAGTGAGCATAGAACTGCTGGATAGCTCAGTGGTTTAGGCATCTGGCTGTGGAGCCAAAGGTTGGGAGTTCGGTTCCCCAGTGGGCCTCCTCAACAGGGGATTGACTTGATGATCCATAGGGTCCCTTCCAGCTCTTCAGTTCGAAGATTATTATTTATTGTTAATGCGACTAGATGTTAGCCTTATAAGATGTGGTGTCAAGTCTTCTAAAATTGGTAAAAGCAGCAAATGGAGCTGTTCTAGCTCTTCAGTTCTAAGATTATTATTTATTGTTAATGCAACTAGATGTTAGCCTTATAAGATGGGGTGTCAAGTCTTCTAAGATTGGTAAAAGCAGCAAATGGAGCTGTTATTGTTGGTGTGGGGCCAAAACCCCAGAGGCATAATGAGGCTCTGGCCTCAAGAAAACTTCTTAAGAGTCTGGTTGAATGTGAAGCTTGGCAAGAGCACTCGGTTTAAAAGACAAGCCTTGAAACTTAAGGACACTAGTTATACAGAGCCTCTTATAAGACTGCTTCCATCCTTCCCACTGAACTTTAGCAAAGTAAGAGACTTAGACGTGGGGAGAAAACAACATGAGAGAGTTCTTGGTGATTATAATGTAGTATATTGGCTATGGCTACACATATATACAAGGCAAGATGCATTTGGCATAGTAACATTCAGAGCAATAACATAGAAGTAAATGACCACCAGACTTATTGCTGAGTGGTAAGGTCTGTTCTGTCTCTGTTACATTTGTACACAGAACAACCAATCACATTTCACCATTTCCATCTGGTCTTGCTTAACACTCAAGCATTACATCATCTTGTTACACCTGTATGCTGTAAATCATTACATTGGCTTTTACCTTACATTGGTGACTCTGCACCTCATTACAATATTAAAATTTAACTCCCTGTTCACGAAAAGAACAAAATCCTGACAGTTCTCTGCTGTATCTTGGTCACAGGACACTTCAAACTGATGATCTCTGTGGAAGAAGGGGAGGAGCCCAACTCAGCTGATGAAGTTGAATAATATAAAATAAGAATAAAATTATTCTTACTATTGTTCAGGTCGAATACTCCAAAGAAAGCTGTGATTGCAGGAAGTATGCAGCTCTTAGCAGGAGTCAAGCTTTGTACAGGGAGGATTTTAACAAACCACCCTCACTATGAAGATAAGAACCTGAGAGAAAGGACAAAACAGGTGAGGTGCCACGTTTGTCTCTTTCCATTTCGTCATCACCACTAGTTGGGCCTGGCATGAGGTTTTAAACAGGCTGGGATAATGGAGGCTGTAGTGGTTGCCTGACTTATCTCCTGTCCTTCCCAGACCTAAGTCAAATGCACTGCAAGGACCTCGCACTCCCCTCCTTCGGTATTCATAAGTGACAAAAATGAATTTGTATGTTGTTGAGAAAACGTCTCTTATTACAATACTGTAATGGTTTGTTGAGAAAACGTCTCTTATTACAATACAATACAATCATGCTGGCCACGTGACCACGGAAACTGTCTTTGGACAAACGCTGGCTCTACGGCTTGGAAATGGGGATGAGCACCGTGCCCTAGAGTCGAACACGACTGGACTAAATGTCAAGGGGAACCTTTACCTTTACCTTACTGGTGCTCTTAAGTTAAACAGTGTAGACAAACAATGTTTCTAGAAGCTTAACATGCCTATTGTTGCCTAGTTGGTATTCATTGTCCTGTCATTGGAACAGCTGGCACCAGCTTTTAGCTGCTTGTACTGAAAGATGCAGGACAGGCATAATTAAACTAAGGTATTCATTGCCACAAAATACAGGGACAGTCACCAAATTTAATTGTTTTAAAATGGGACTGGAGAGATTCATAGAATGATAGTCATGATAGCCATGTATGACCTGCTGCACCAGTGGCAGTGCTTTTCAAATGTAGGTGCTCAGGTACGTAAATGGGAGAATCTAGTTCTATTATTGTCCTGGTGGCCATCCTTTAGGCCAGTGATTCCCAACCTTGGATCCCCAGATGTTCTTGGACTCCAACTCCCAGAAATCTTAGCTAGTACAGCTAGTGGTGAAGGCTTCTGGGAGTTTTAATCCAAGAACGACTGGGGACTCAAGATTGGGAACTACTACTCTAAGCAATTGATTGATCACTGTAAGAAGAGATTTCTGGTCGATGGTCTGCTTGAAACCGGTTTTTCTTAAATGTTTGTATTGAAATATTTCTGATGATAAAGAGACCATGCTAATTGCTCCAACTGTTCATAGGTTTACCAGGTGTATGCAAAACGATCCCCTGAAGATGTCCACAGGATCCTCAGATCATTTGGCACTGACTTTGTGATCCTGGAGGACAGTATTTGTTATGAAAGGAGACATAACAGAGGCTGCAGATTGCGTGATCTCCTTGATGTAGCAAATGGACACGTAAGTAATTTCCAGTCATTGTCCTGATTATTTTTAAACAACTCTAGATGCTCAGCCACGGGGCCATTTCTTTCTGTAGCACCCTGAAGTTTTAGAGTTACAGCTGAGATTATGCAAAACACATAGTGAACCAGGAAGCAAAGCTGTTAAGTCACTGAAATCGTAGCACTAATATCCTAGTTGGAATTCACAGATAAATCTTAAGACCCATGCAGTGGAGTAACCCATGTGAAGCAAACCAGAAACCAACAAGGAAGGGGAGTTGCAAAAGAAACAGGCCTCCTATGGCTGTTTTCTCATATGTGTTGGCATTCACCTTTTCTACCATTCCGTGTCACCATCTTCCATAAAATGGGAGTGTTTTGAAGCAAGGAGCCAGCTTTACCTATGTAGGCGATCTGTATGATGTAGAATTTTAGAGACTGTTGAATGTCAGTTGAAACCATGCATGCACTAAGAACTATCGGCTAAATCCAATCTTACCCCAGCTTGATCTGTTAAAATCAGTGAGACTTAACATTTGCCATATTGACTATCAATCAAGTCCTACTCGTTTCAGGATAGTAGCCTGACAGATGTTAGTTTGTAAAATCATGTAGAAGGCCATCGATTTCCAATCCCCTGCTCAGTGCAGGAATACCAAAAGTATGTATATCAGTCAGATGGTTGTCTGTCTCTTGAATGTCTCCAGTGTTGGAGTGCTTACCATCCTCAAGGTAATTGATTACATTGCCATGCTGCTCTAACAGTTAGAAAGTTTTTTCTGCTACTCAACTGAATTCTGTCTTCCTGTAATGTGAGCCCATCCTGTACTATGAATGGATTGACAACATATTCTGTTCCTTCTGTGTAAAATAATCTTTCAAGTAAGCTCAATCTTGTAACTGTGCACTTGAATGTAGAAATTAGCATTACCCCTTTTAAATTTCATTATGTTGTTTTTAGCCCAGTGCTTAAGTCTATCAAGATCTTTTTGAATTTTGTTTCTGTCTTCTAGTGTTAGCTAATTTTGTGTCATCTGCAGATTTTATAAGCATTCCCTGCTCCTCCTCATCCAAGTCATTAATGAAAATTTTGAAGGGAACTGGACATGCTTGTTACCTCTGCCCAGTTTGACCCAGTTTGACCTTGTAATTAATAATCCCTCTCTGACTATGATTATTAATTTGTGCCCACTTGATGGTTACACTATTCAGCCCACACCTTGGTGATCAGGGTATCATGAGTCTCTTTCTCAAAAGCTTTGCTGAAGTCAGGATACAACGTCTACGGCATTCCTACCATCTCCCAGGAAAGTTACCCTATAAAAAATGATACAAGATTAGTCTGGCAGAATTTGTTCTTGATAAATCCATGTTGGCTTCTACGCATTTTCAAGATGCTTGTAGATTATAAGAAACAAGAGCTGTCTTCATAAAGCAAATTTTAAGTTTGTGTTTTAATAACCGTGTGGATCTTTAAAATCACTACAGGATTCTCATTGTGCTGCAACAAGCCTAATACATCTTTGGAGGTTTCTTTAAAATAGCTATTTTTAGGGGAGGAGACATGTAAATTCTTCCTATCTAATTCTTCACTTAAGATCAGGTAGCCTTTTTTGTTTTCTACTTAAAGTAATCTATAAAATTAGCTGCGCTGTATAGAGCAAGTCATCTCTTGGAAATCTTGGGCTGCCTCTTCCTCTGAGATGGGGACACTGAATCCCATGGTCTGACAGTTTTCAGATGTGTTAGAATCCCTATTTTGCCCAACTAATAATTGCATTATAAGATTTATGGCCCATGGAGAAAAAAGTATTGAGTTAGGGAAGGCAATTTTAAAGCAACTAAAAAGCAGTTCTGAAGGAGCCATTAATAAATGTGTCCTTACAGAGGTCATTGGTGACAGTCCGTGTACTGTTAGTTTCAAAATTAGCCATCTAATTAGCAAATTAATAACAACCATTCATTGAATTAAATGGTTTCCAGTTAATGTTAACAGCAGCATTTTCCAATTCAAACGTTATTCATATTGAATATTTAAATTAACTTTAAGATGTAATATTCCAGGCTGTGCTCAGTACTTCAGTATTAATAGAAGCTCTTTTTTTTTGTCTGACGTGTGGGGTTGGGGAAACAATCAAGACAGCAGGGCCTGCGCATGTAGCTCTGCTCTTTACTGTCATGGGACATGAGGAGGGAGGTGTGCCTGTGCCGTTCTGTAGTGTTGTCTCTATCTAGCTACAGTGGTCATACTAATACAGCTTACTTTGTGTTGATTTCATATATGATGGACAGTTATTACTCAGTGCCTGATACAAGAATGCTTGAACAACTGTATAATTTCTGTTGCAGACTATGGATGGTCCTGGAGGAAATGATCCTGATCTGAAACCATCACCGTATCCTCGCTTCTGTGAGGAAATCAAAAGAAACCTACCTTCATATACAACATATTTTACTAAAGTATTTCAGAACAAAACATTTCATGTTTACAAGCTTGCTAGACATAAAAAGAACACATAGCTTTATCGTAATCATAGTAGGAAATTCTGAAAGTTTACACAAATGATTCTTTTTCTTAAAAAAAGTGTACACTGGTTTCAAATGTTTACTTCCTAATTACTGTGAAAATTCATAAGGGATTTGTTTTGATAACACTTTTATGTGTCCAGAAAAGCGGTGGGGGTTACGTAAATCCAGTTCAAAAAATACTCTCTGGTGGGTTGAAAGGTTCTCACAAACTGTACTGCATCTACGGTGTTATGCATGATTCTTTTCTTTTTTAAGGACAGTGAACACCGCTCATCACAAAACATTCAGTGTGTAGTGGGAGGGAGAAGTTGCATGAGCCTGAAACTTAGTCCCATCCAAAACATATGCATAGCCTGTGTGTTAAGGATGCATATGGAACAACCATTATCTCTTTCCATTAACTGCTGATCTGGAGAATTCCACCCAGGGTTCTAGCTTGCTAAAGTCCTGTGATAGTGGGCTGTTTGTTGTTCTTCTTCATGGCCTCTGTGAATCACACCCCAGGTGATCTGCGCCTGCATGGAGCCTCATCGGAACGTTCTAGAGCTTCTGTGGTAGCAAAAAGTACATTAGAATAAGGCCCCTCCCCCCTCGTATAAGTACCTTGGCACCAAGGCTCCCTTTTCAGTTGTGTCAACCGCCATGTTGAGAGCCTCTTAGTTCTGCTTCTGTGAGTAAAAGAGAGAGTTTATTCTTGATTCCTTCCTGCTACCAATCTTTTTTCTTTAAATTTTTAGATCAAATTCATTATCATCAGAGAGACTTTTCTTTTCTCCTTCGCTTGACCTCCAGCTGCAGCACCCCCCCAATCATTGTTTTTTCTCCTCAAATTATTTTCTCCTATTCATGGCCCCTTTGGGCCTGTTTAAACACTGTGTGGTCTGTGGTAACAAAATACAACACTCTGATGGTCACGCCAAGTGTCTTTTTTTGCTTGGGAGAGGCAGACCAGATGTCCTCCTGCCAGCATTGGAAGAGCTTCAAGTGCGTAGTCCTCCTTTCTTGTTTATCCAGATTAAAACTGTATTTGGGAACAATCCCTTTAACCAACCAAAATGGCCCAACCTCCTTGTAAGGCCACCTCACAAACCAAAGCAATGGAGAAGGCTGTTTCTGAAACCTCAACACACGTCCATCATCCCACTCTGATGCTCTGTCCACTTCGTCTAAAACTTCAAAAACCAATAAATCGAAGTGCTTGATACTGAAATCCTCTATATCGAAGACCTCCACTGAACGTCAAATGTCCACTGAAGCCTCTTCCGTTCCAGAGCCTTCTCCGCCTAAAAGACCTAAACAGCATAAATCTAAAGCTGCAGTCATTTCTCAGCAGCCTCAACAAACCGCTGAATCAATCTATATTAGTTCACCTTCTGACGATGACGGAATCCCCTCTCATCAACCCTGCTCCCAATCACTGGAATGGAATGACAAAGTCGATAGATTAACATCTTCTCCTCCTGGTCCTCAACACTGTTCTTTCGAGCAACCCTTCCGTAGTTGCTTCACCTGACAGGGTCAACTCCGAAGAACAATTGGAGACCATACCTTATTCAGTAACATCTCATTATCCACTACAACCACCATCCACTGAAATATCAGCCCCAACAGTCCCTGGATCCGTCTATTTCATCACGCGTGGTTCAGCACTCTCATCAAGTTGCCATTTGCCCCGACCAGTGCTCGACCAGACAAACCACAACCACCAATCAGCCAATTGCTCTATCCAGGCTCAGTCATACCTTCCCACGGCGGGCCTCGATCTCGACACCCATCCATGTCAAAATGGCCATATCACCATGACCCACATGAATTCCAACCTGCTCCCTACCTGGCACCTAAAAGACCCAGGAAGGTCGAGCAATTTTCTTCTACACATGAGGCTTTACAGCCTCCTGATATTTTCCCATTAAGCCAGATGAGGGAAATCATTCCTCTCGCTTGGCATCTCCAGCGTCTATATACTCCACTGCTTTACCAGCTTGTCAACATCCTCTGTTTCAACATCACCGAGATACAGGCTCTGATATCGACGATCCTCGATATCCATCCTGGTCCATGGATGCTCGTTCTGTCCCTCTATCAACGCACGATTTCCATGGCCATCCTGGTCCATGGATGCTCGTTCTGTCCTTCTATCAGTGCACAATTTCCATGGTCCAATAGAATCAAGCCATCAAACTCGACATCACTATGACCCCAGGTTTGACACCGATGTTCAACCATATCAAATGACATCCATGGACACTCGGATGATACCTCTCGGACATCACTATGACCCCAGGTTTGACACCGACGTTCAACCATATCAAATGACATCAATGGACACTCGGATGACATCTCTCGGTATCAAAAATCCTCGACACCGACAAATGCCCATGGACATGCTGCCTCCATCAACATTCAGCCAAAAACATCAATACTGTGACCCATGGACATGCTGCCTCCATCAACATTCAGCCAAAAACATCAATACTATGACACTCAACCTATTAACACCCAAGTCAATCGACAATCCGTCGACTCCTGACTCAGTCCTGATTCCGATCACAGATCCATACCTTAGATGCAGCCAGTATTACTTACCCCTATTTCAGAAATCAAAGAAATAAATTCCACCAACAACCCATTACTAGGCTACTATTCTATGTTTTTTGCTTCATCTCAAGTCTAGCGGCCTTTCCCTCTCTTCCCTGAGACTTTACCTCTCCGCCATAGTTTCTTATCAGCCCACTAACTCTCCGGCAGCTGATTTCTTCAGGAATTCGACATTGAAACGTTTTCTTAAAGGTTTATTTCATATCTACCCAGATACCCACCCGCCTTCCCCAGAATGGTCACTAATACTAGTACAGCAACAGCTTTCTAAAGCTCCTTTCGAACCTTTAGCTTCAACTGATTTATGGCTACTTACCTTTAAAACAGTTTTCCTCATCGCCATCACCTCAGCTCAATGAGCTAGTGATTTAGTGACCTTACGTCATGACTACTGTATTCTTATTTACAGTTTTTTCTGGACAAAGTCAAACTATCCATGGATATTTCTTTCCTCCCCAAAGTTGATTCTCAATTCCATCTCTCTGAGCCATTTATCCTTCCTTCTCATCACCGTTCACAACTCAAGAAAGAATCCTTCATACCTTAGATGTTATGGGAGCCCTTGCCTTTTATGTCCAACGGACCCAATCTTTCAGGCGTTCACCTCAACTTTTCATGTCACCAACCACCTACTAAAGGTCACCAGGTGACATCTCTGTGGCATTCACCCTCGTGCCCCTTTCTTGACCATCAAGACTCAGAGCACACGAAGGCAAACAATCCCCTTTTACACTGTTGCCACCAGATGATCACTAAATCACCATTACTTCAGGAAGATTCAAGTCCACACTTCAAGGTCTTTTAAACAGAACTTTTGTTTATTGAACTAAGCTTTTCCCAGAAGCTCTAGTGAGGAACCAAACATCTTTGTCACAGACCTCTTTCTAAAAGGTACCTTTGCCTCAAGAATTTTTTTCCTTTTTTTTCACTTTCTTCTTCCTCTAAATCTGGGAGATTTAGTCCAAGAACTTCTGGGGAATCAAGGTAGGGGACCACTGCATAACATGATACTCTTGCTTGATGATCTCCTGCAAGCCACAGACTGTAAAAGGGAGCAGGTTCAGACATGAACACCAAAACATGTCTTGGCTTTCTGGCTGAATACAGCTAGTGTCTTTATGTGACAGACAGCTGAATCAGAGAAGGACGAGCCAGAGAGGGAAGAGCATCAGTCTATTCTAGCGACATAGAGTCAATGGCAACAGACTGCTCTGAGAATTCGGCACCATGTCAGCTTCTATGCTTGTGTCCAAAAGGTGTTATACAAGTGGCTTTTTGGGATAAATGACAGAAGGCAGAGGGGTGATACTGGACACGTTGATCCAGAAGTGACGAGTTGTCCTGATGCCAGTGGACCTGCAATCTCAAGAACAGTTTGCATGTGTACACTGGGTCACCATCACAATATGCCAAATATTGTACTTGGTACACCATGTTCTTGGGCTGGCAAATGTTCCTTGTAAACCTGCAGGGGGGAGAGAGAGAAATATTCCCCTTTATGTTTAGTCCTCATTTCCTCCCCCAAATATTTTGCATTAGCTCTTTTTGTTTTTTCCTCTCCCCTAACTGCCAAGGGTAAGCAGAAAAAACAACAACATATCTCATCAGAATAACAACAGCAAGAACAACAACATGGACTGAGATTTGCATACCAGAAGGGCAAGGGAAGCAGTTCCAGTTACCAATCTATTCAGCCTTAAAAAAAAAAAATACAGAGACCTGAGATGCCTTGCATGAATACAAAACACCATCCAAACCTTTCCTGGGGCAAAGCTTGAATACTGAACAGCTGCTGAAGCTCAAATGCAAGGCAAATCGTTTGTCACTTGCCAAATGCTGCAAAACAGCCACTTAGACTAAGAGTACTGCTTAGGAAGAAAGACAGGAAGCAGCGACCTTATACCAAGTCAGACCTTGGTCCATCGGATCTAGTGCTGTTGACATTGATTGGTTGGGGATCCCCAAAAGTTTCAGACCAGGTTTCCAGCCCTGACTGAAGATAAAAACAAAATAATACTGGGAAACATGCTGTCTCTTTCATGGAAGATTCTAGGAACATTGCCCGCGTTATCACATGTAATTCAGAATGGCCATCCTCTTAATTACCTAGTATTATTACCCCCTTGGAATTTTCTTCTCTCATGAGTGAACAGCTAGCTACACAGGAACTTGTCAAGCACTCTAATGATTACACTGTAATCCAACACCACACAAGGTACAGGAGTCCACCAGGAGGCCAAAATTATCAGGGAGGACAGTGAAACAGCCAAGGAAGCGTCAATGGCCATTTTTATACATGCCAGAAAGACCAGCATTGCTGTATGCTGCTCAGCAATGCAAACAACAACACAGCCTCCAGAGTTTATACCAATTAAATAAGGAACCATTTTCAAAGGGGTAGCTAGGCTATTCTGTCATAGCACAAACAGCAGAGTCTTGCAACACCTTGAAGATGAATGAATGCATTGATTGCAGCATGGACTACAGCCCACATCCTTAGATGCATGCAGTGTTACCCAGATGTTCAAGAATGAATGTAGAAGAATATATATGATTTAGAGACAAGAAATGGGAGTTCTTAAACCGTGAAGTTAGAAGGACATTAACTGTATTGACCATGACAACTGCATTATTAATACAGGCCGTTTACAAATCTGTTCCTTTAAAACACAAACATTTTAGGATTAGGGGAAATCCATTACTTGTTATGACATAGTAAAATACCTGTAGTCAGCAACAAAGCAGAATTTCCTAATAAAGCTGCCTCACAAAGATGGATTACAATCCACGAGGAATAATGCAGAAAGCAAAATTTGGCATCCAGTACTTAAACACAGTTCCTTCAGCTTTTTGGAGGACATGTATCATCAGAGCAATGGTGCTGCCATGGGCACATGCAGGGCTCCAGTTCAGGA